AGAAGTAGCTCATGCGAACGCGCCGCATAAAAGCCGATACAGATCTTTCGCCGTCAAGGCAACTTAACAATAGTACCAGTTTTGTAAATCCATCACTGTACTTGAGCATCGTTAAAAATATATTCAAGTAGTATTTCTCACTTGTATTATTCACTTAATTCAACCCTGAACCATATTCACTGTAAGGCTAGGGGTATCTCACGAACCCGGTACACCTTTACCGCTCGAGGTGTACCATTACGACAGAGAGCAAGATCCTAAAAACATCCTAAAAACCTACGTGGCTCCCAGAGTATAAAGCCCCTGGTTCGTCCACTCCTTCTAGCGGCTCCCAGGGTATAGAGCCCCTGGTTCGTCCGTGAAACCTTACATTTTCCTTATAAATCTAACCCCCGTGGCTCCCAGGGTATACAGCCCCTGGTTCGTCCACATAACCTCCACCTACGGCTCCCAGGGTATGGAGCCCCTGGTTCGTCCGGAACTCCTTACACTTTCCTAACCATACCTAAAACCACCGGTCGAGTACTGCCCTCGACTGAATCCAGGATCTCGCGCTCGCGCTCGTAACAACATCGAAGAAATTATTGAAATATTTTGTATGTTTCTATATATTAGAAGAAAAAAATCTTTGAAGAAGATTTCTAGGGGTGATACTAAAGTCTCATGATAGTAAATTATAAATAATAAAAGAAATGTCGAATCGAATCCTCGTACAATTTGATTTGTTTTATGCACTTCGCGGTAGACCACTGAGTGCCGACGACCTCTTCCTTATCTTTCGATTGAATAATGGCGCCTACGTTCTCCGCGTGGGTCGGTAAACTGTTATAATTCGCCCACGTTGCAATACGTCTTCAAGTTTTAGGTCATTTCTTCCTCCTTTCTTTTCACTTTAATTCTTTGCTTCCTCGTAAACGGGACCGTGCCTCGGAAAATCGGACATTTTTGCTGAAACCTCAATACGTTATAGTCTTTGGAATACCTTTGCACTCGACAGCTTCGACCGAACAGTTGAAATTTTTTAACGAAAATAAATCAGATGTAAATTGAAAACTTGAACATTTCTCGATCGTTTCTTGGAAACCTTCCATTTTGTTTTTTAATTAAATAACTTATACGAAAATGGTATAAATTGTTCATTTTTTAAAGAAATATAAATTTGGATTTTTCAGTTCAATATTTATTTTCTTCCATAATTGTTTCGATGAAAAATGTTTTTTACGATTTGTACAAACAAATAGAGAATCTACTGCAAATAAAAAATAATGAAAAAATAATTATGTTCGTCCTGAGAGACTTAGTTACTCTTTTAATTAACAAAGTTTCCAAAGGCATTAAAAACTTTAAACACGAATAACTCGAAAAATATCGAGTCTCCGACCTCATAACGGATAATCGAGTGAAAAAGTTTCACTTTTAAAAGAATTAAAAACTTTAATACGCGGGTAATTAAAAAAGTATTGACTTTCTTTGATCTCTAATGGTACATTATCCTAAAACGTATATCGAAATCTACCGGTAGACAAAGTTTCAATTAGGTCACGATCTTTTCTTATCAGTTTCAAAATAACGTTAAAAGACAAATCCTCTATTATTGTCGTCGGTCCGACGTCCCAGTCCGGTAAAGTTGAGAGTTCCTTAACGACGAAGAGGTTCAATAAAGACGATAAGATGTGAGAAATTAAATTAAAGACATTTTTATTGAATTTTTTCAAACAGTGTATTTTGAAACAGTGCAGTACAGCACTAAAGCGACGTTGGTAGATCGGGTGTTGATCAGTCTGGACGACGAAGCAGAGTCAAGTATATCATCGTTGCGTTATCACAATACGCCGTACCGTCGATAAACGATGTGTAAAATAAATACATTCGGAAGGAGAGAGGGGGAAGAGCGAAAAGAAACAAATTGTTTCGACGAAACGCGGATAAAAAAATTTCGAAACCATTCGAAACAACTCGCGACTGACAAATATATTCGATCTTTCTGTTCCCTCTCTCCCCCCTCTTCCTTCCTTTTTCGGAGATCAAATAGCGGAAAGCACGATTGGCAAATGATCGCAATCGGTAGACACGATAGAAGCGTTTGGTCGGAGATCGTTACGATCGGCATAAATTAATCGAATCGACTTATCCGTTGGCGTGCTGTAGATACAACATATTAATTTCGTCGAAAAGCACTGTTAACATACGTCGTAATCACTTGTTGAAATCGTTTTCACCGATTCTACTAGTGCACTGTTGGAAAGAAGACGAGTGGGCGGGGCTCCCAGCGATGAGCGGTTCTCCAGCCACTACAGGACCGCCCCCTGGCCAATAACGAAGGACGATAGAAAAGGTGACTCACTCACTACGGCTAATGGGAGTCGAGTTCCCTTAGCTCGTCGTCTTTCCTGTTTTGCACAGTAGCGACGAAATTCGGCGTTTCGATGAATAAAATAAACAATTTTCTCGTCGATCTTGATCTACTGTTTCTCGACTAAAAATCCACCTCTAGCGCGCAAAATGCAATCTCGTTGTTGCCAACAAACGGTGTACTACTTGCTGCGAAAAGGAAAACGCGATACACTCAAAACTGAAAACATCGATCCGAAAAAATGCTACGCGACGGGGGTGGTGGCGCGTTCGGATACAAGAACAGCGAAACGTGGCTTGGTTCGAACGACTTTCCTTTTATACTCGAAGAAAAATACCAACGACGATGTTATTAAAGCAGCAACAATTGTCTTCCGTCAGTGTTTCGTGCGCGATAGTGCTGCTTTAACAAGGATCAATATCAATATTTATCCGTTGCCATCTAGCAATAAAACTTGCTACGTACGGCGCGAACCAGCAAGAGAGAAATATTGCTAATATGATTCTTCGACTTGTTTACGTCTCGTCGGTTAAACTCGAGATACGATTTAACCCCTTCGTTGCCAACAACTATATCTCATCGATGAGGATTTCGATCGAGAAAAAATTATTTTCCGTTCAGTTAAGTAATTATTCGCACGAGAAATAAAATATTATAATTATTCTTTGTAAATGTAAAACGTTTACCCGTATTCTTCGTTATTTTTATAAATATGAAAAACATTTTTTTATCAAAATTGAGGCCATAATGTGACTGTAATAATTTTTTTTATACCTGGATTTTCGGAGATTTCGAGATCATTATATCATGTTCATAATACATGAATGTTCGACGTGAAATAAATGACGTTATTCGTGATTACTAAAAAAAATTGCCATGACAAAAATATTTTCTGTAATTTAAGATGTCTCCTTACAACCTCAAAAGAAATTCATTCTGAATTAACAATAGCTTTTTAAATAAAAATTCATAAAGATACTTTTAGCTTAGTTGCAACGAGAATCCTCTTCTTAAACCTGATGATCGAATTCCACAGTAAACGAAACGTTTTGTCCTCGTAGCAACTCAAAACGAAAATTGGGACACGAGATCACGCCTACAGCCCCAAATAGCGGAAGTTGAGACGTGTCATTTGTGGCAACGAGAGGATTAATGGTAAATAAAAGGTGGACCGTTTAACGCACGACTTCTATGTATACACATATAGACAACGGTGATAATCTAAGTGGGATCGTCTTAAGATCTAGGCTTACGGTCTAAACGAAACAGGATCGTGGGTACATGATGCATTTTACACGTGTGCCTCTTAAATATGTGTATGCGCCGTTTTTCCTACGAAAAGACGTTTCGGAATCGACGTTCGGAAGAATGAATCGATGTTTATCCGTTACGATGCCCTTTGACTAAAGTGAAAACAGTTACGACTCGCCCCGAACGAGCAATCGTCGATCATTCGTGCCTCATCTTCCACTTCCGGTCCCGCAACATCCCCAGGAAGTCTTACTAATTCGAATCATTTTAGGGATCGTTTGCCTACGTCAGATAATTGTAACAATGTTTATCTTTATATTAATCTCGAAGAAAATAAATACTTTTTGGACGAATAAAATTTTCCTCAAAAATTGCAATTAAGTAAATAGAACTTCATTTATGCGAACAACTCCCCAATGTTTAACATTAAATTTTCGAATACTTATTGCTCATATTTTTATCAAAATTCTTCGGTTGACTCTTTTTCATTTAAGTGGAATATACAGGGGGTTACGTTATTTGTAATACAACCAGCGAAGGAGGATGAGGAGGAGGGGGGATTCCTCGTGGTAAAGTAAGTTGAAAATGTAGAATGACATTTTCAGACTCGTTCGTGAACTAAATGTTGCCCCGTGGCTTCGCTCATTCGTTAACATGGATAGTGGATTTTAATTGACAAATAAATTTATAAACGAAACGTAAAGGGAAGTTGGTCTACGAGTGAATCTAAAACTTTTACTCGTTATTCGATAATAAAATGTGCTTGACTCCGGTCTTATCGGTTAGGTAATATGCTCGCCGACTCTTGTGCGTGCTACACGCGTGCACGTGCGTCACGTATACTACGTGTATACAACGTACACCGTTAGGAGGAAGAATCGTTCGACACGTAGCTTTGCTCGTTACCGCCAGTTAGAGCTCCTTCGCACAGGCAGGGAGGAGTTCCAGCACACGAGAATCTGAGTGTCGACACACGAGAAAGAACGCCCCAGGCAATACAATATCCCTCTCCTTCTTCAGGAAGAGTAGCGAAAATTATTGAATATGTACAAATTTGTATAAAGGGAAATATCAATGATTGGAAAAAACAAACCTTGTCTTATGGTTTCAACCATTCTATGCATTTCGAATGAACTGTACATCTTTTTCTGTCGAAATATTTCACACATATTCGAAAAATTAGATCTCTATATTACTGAAATTAAAAAAAAAAATTGTTACAAATGACCGAAATAAATTTCTCTCGTTGATGAAAAGAAAATTTCAGTCACTTGTATCTTTAATACTAAACTGAAAACACTTTGGGCAAAAAAGAAAAAAAATTGTTAACTTTTGCAAACTAAAAAAATATGAAAAAAAATAAACAAAACATTAGCTATAATATTTCAAGTAGATTTTAAAATATGGAAATCCAGTTAAACGTGTTTAACACTAGATTTACAGAACCTGTCAAAGTCCATAATTAAAGTCACGGAACTCATGAATATTATTTATAATTTTAAAATAATGTATGTCGACAATTTCTCAAAACCAATTTCCAAGCCAGGTTTCAAATAAAAGAAAAACCACATTTTAATTTCAACGTGACGAGCTTCAATAAAAATATGTACAATGTTTGTAGATATAAAAAAAAAAACGTTTTAACGTTGGAGTTTGCACATACATTCTTCAAATCATATTCTTCGATTCTAAAACCAATTCTTTTAAAGGTTTGCAATAGTCCCTTTAATGACAAACAACTTTGGTTCAAGACACCCGGAAAATGCGACAAATTTCTCCAACAACCGATTCCGACCTAAAGTAACGTTTGCCCGCGTTTGAACAAGTTTGATCGCTCAAACGGCAACACAAATTTTTACTTTGTTGGTTGAAACCCGAAGTGACCGATTTCCTCGACAACCGATTCCGTCCGAAAACGACGTTCCCTCGTGTTTGGACAAGTTTGATCGCGTGTGCTCGATTGAATACCGCTATAAATACCCTGTTAGGTGGAACCGACTAGGCAGACTGCGTGCCAGGCAGGCTCTCGAATGCCCGCGCGAAGAAGCATTCCTGACAGTTGACACACTCGTCGATCGAAGACTCCGCTAACGAAATACAATTAACCTGTCGCTCCGAAACGTGCAAACGATAGGAAAAAAAAAGAAACGGGACGTTCGAAACACCAGGAATAATTACGCCAAACGCCACGAGTTTGTCCGTTTCACACAGTTTTCACGCAAGTCCCATTCGGTTTGCCTCCCTATCGACGAACTAATTCAATTTCCAGGGCCACCTCTTTCACTCACGCACACTCGTCCGGGTTGCTTTTCTCCTCCGATACGCACACAGTCCCCCACAAACGTCCGCACACGCGCGACTACTCTCTCTTTCGATCATAACGAGGCTAGGTCTCGTTCCGCGATCATTCTTCTGCTTGCAACAGCGTACGGAAATCCTGCTGCAACTTCGACTCGTGGTAACTCCAAATATCACTGAAATCTTCGTCCTCGTCCGCCTCCTCGGGCGCCGGGGCGCTCGGCGACGGCGAGTAGAACTTAATCTCCAGGTCTCTGTGCCCGTTGGGCGACGTGATGATTTCCGTGGAGACCTCCAGGCCCTTTGGCGACGAAGCGCCGTTGTTTACCGCGCAGGGTGGTCCAGCGTTGCTCGCGGGGAACCCCATGGTGTCCCCGTGCCAGAGGGTACGTCGTTTGCCCCCCTCGATCTGCCCCCTGTCGCCGATCACGCCGACGTCTTTGCTGGGGGCGGCGATCTCCTCGCTAAAGTAGCTCGTCGGGTCGCTCCAGCTGCGTCTAAGGACGATTCCTCCGGCGTCCTTCTCCCTGGTCGGGGTGCCGTTGGCGCCGAAGAGCCTCTCAACGCTGAGCGTCGGCCGTGAGAGGAATAGCGGCGCGTGGAGAAAGTGGCCGGGGCAAAACTCGCCGGTGAGGAACGGCGAATAACAGTTCTGATCCATGTCCCAGATGAGACCCGAGGGGTCGCAGTACCGGCACTGACACGACCCTAATCCGTCCTTCATCCCACCCTCGCAACCCGTCAAGTTCCCGTAGTCCTGCAGGTAACGTGGTCCGTTGCTGCTGTTGTTGTTGTTGCGCGTGTGGTGCCTGTAATCCTTGGGCGGGATCGCGCGTATCTGCACCGGCACCACGACGTTTCTGTTGTCGTCGAGGACTTTCACTTCCACGTGCCTGTGACCGTACCTCTGCCTCGCGTCGCCAATCTCCTGCCCCCTGAACAAGCTTTCTCGCGCTATAGGGGGCCTTCTGTGGTTCCGGAGCTGAACCGGTGTCTCGTAACGCTCGTAACAACCGGCCGCGTACGGTTTCAGGGCGAGCACGTTCGACTGGTCCCCGGATTGTTGTTGTTCTTCGTGTTTACCAACGTCCGCGGAGGCTGGCGCGTTGTTCGCCGGCTTCCTATCCTTCTTTCTGCGCTTCCTGGGCTTGATGATCCGCGGCAAGCTATTCTCAGAATTGTTCGAGCCGGAGCTCTCGTCGCTGGCGATGCTCAGCGAGTCGATGTTCGCGATGCTCGTCCCGGCGGCTTCTTTGTTCACGCAATCCGCCTTGGGATTCGGTTGCGACTTCTTCGACAGTTCCGCGGACCTCTGGGGCCTGGATTGCGGGCACCTCGCGGCGTTCCCATTATTGTGAACGTAACCAGTACTGCAGAGAGAGTTGGCAATGCCATTAACGTTCCCGGTGTTGTGTATCTTGCCGCGATTATGAAATCGTCCAGCCAAGATCAGTGGTGCTCCCTGCGTGTGGATAGCTAGCCTAGACAGCGGATTCTTGTGCAGGTGTGTCGACACTTGCTGCTCGCAGGCCTGTTGCTGCTGCTGCTGCTGCGGCTGTAGACCCACCGACGGCGATAGTCTTTGATTACATCTACGCGGGCTGGACGTCATCGATATTAATGGAGCACCTGTCCAACCACCTGGCCCGTATTGCACATGACATTGCTCGGTACCGTTCGACAAACTTTGCCCGCCGTAGCTGGACCGCGATTTCCCGCGCGCCGCTGACTCCTGCTTCTTACCGACGATCGGTTTTTGCGATCCCGATCTCAGGCTAGACGATATTAAGCAACTGCCGATGTAACGCTCCACCTCCACGGCACCCTGAGAGGCCGGGCTCATCTTACAATGCCCGCGAACGACACCACTCGTATTACCAGCACCGTTATAGTCCCTCCGTACCAGCGAACCTCACGCTTCGCTAAGTACCAGTCCGAGCTTCCCGTTTGCGCGTCACATTAACACGGTAATCCACTGACCCATATCAGGTTTAGCCAGAAACTCCGCTGGTTTAGCCCATCGTCGTGAGACCGCGTCCCTCACCGGATACTACGAACCGTAGAAAAGAAAAGTGTCGTTCGGATACCGTTGCGTCATAGGAGACGCGTTTAGGGCAACGAAAATAGTCCGGGAGGGATAGGTGGAACACACCTGACACACCACAACCGTTCGTAGCCACGGTCGGAACGATACTGAAGCTGGATCCACCGAGCGCGCCCACACTGTCTTTCACTCTGCGACGCGGCGGTTCCCCCACTCCGCCCCAGCCCTCCCCACCATCGTCGCCACACTTACCGCTGACAGACACATCCCCACCACTCGTCTCGCCACCTCCTTTCTTTACAATGTACCGCGCCACACCACTCGACGAAACTTTACCATGCGCGTATTCCGCTTATAGTATACACATAACAGGGGTCCTTCCGGTGGACGGCGACCTGTCACAATTCACCGGGACGTCGAAGAAAGTTGGCAAGTTGCGTGCTCGAGTTACACTCGAGTTTTACGAGATACCGATTTCGGAACTCGATTAAGGGGCAATCCTACCGCGAACCTTTTAGAAAATTCTCGGGAAACGGGTTCAAAATATCAAAAGTACGTTTCAAAAATAACTTTCAGACTATTATATGTTAGTATAGTTAGCAGTATAAGACAAACGTGGTTCTCGCTGATTTTAAATGACGGGTTATCGTTTGGCAGATGTTTCAAACGGTCCACCATGCCGCGACCGATCACTTACAAGTAAATTGGGCTGCCGGAGTAGCCATAATTCTGCGCTACTTTGTCGGCAGCATAACTCCGCGGCTTACCCGGGGGGAGAGTAGTAGGACCAAAAACTTCCATTTCGAGTCTCTGAAAGACGGCAGAAAGTGTGTCGTTGGATCGTTACACGGAAAGGTGTTAATTTCTTCGTCGGTAGCTCGCCGGCGCAAAATCTCGCGATCATGCTTCCGGGCGCTGGTCGAACAAGCAGTAGATGCACGACAGCCGCGATAACGGCAGTGGGGGCGAAAGGAGGGATCGAACGTCGCGTTACTTCGCTCCAGATGAGTTGTTCTAGAGAAGAGTAGGTGGGTCGTATGCGAGGGTTCAACCGAGGGCGGCCGCGGGCGATTGATGACTTGTGACCCAGTTTTAAAGGCTCGTGGCCTAGATGCGAGGGTGCCGTAGCCTGATCTAAGATATCAGGCTTCCTTCCTCTCCTTCCTTTTCTACCGACTACGCTCGTTTTCTGTTCTCTTGCTCTTTCCCGTGCTGATAAAAGCATGGGGCTCGAATTGAATGGAAAGAATGCCCTTTGGAAACATTCTAAGAAACCATTGAATATCTTAATGTTATTTCTGAAACAGGTAATGGCGTATCAACCTCGATAATATTCTCGTTATCTCGCGTCCGGAATATAGAGCGAATGTTTACTCGTGTTATCGCGGCAGGTCGTGCCGTAGATTATCGCCGGTGCGATCGACCGTCGTACCGTTACTGATTGTTATGGGATACTTTTTAGCTACGCGGTACACAATGGCGAGCATTTTGCCGCGACATTTGAATTTATCGCGTCGCAGCCGACTTATCCGGAGGCTGGAACACTTTACGACTGTCAAAGTGCGCGCAGAATTCCAGCGGGATAAATGCGCGCGGTGGGAAAAGTAACAAAACGCAACAGACCTACCGCGACCGCGGCGAACTTAAAACCTCAGATTTGATGTTTATAAAATTCTATCAAAGAATTCTGCCTGACATTTTCGTTTTAAATTTTTATTACTTCCGGGTTGAAGGTTTGGCGGAAGTTCTTCCGTGATACAATTGAATTTAGAAAAAAAAGTCCTCGTAATCTCATTTAATTCTCAGATTGAATTTCCAACCCTCCAAATTGGGAATATCGTCTCGCAAAGCTCCCGCAGTAGAGGAAATCGTGAAACTGAGAATCTCATTTAATTCTCAGGTTAAATTACCAACCCTCGAAATTGATATTGAGACATTATTCGTGTTAAAAGTTCCCGCGCGTTCGGTTCGATGACGGCAACGAAATTTATCAGAATTCTACAAGTCTCGAAATAGGCGGCCATCTTGACACACTTTCTCAAACGGATACTCCGCGCAAGAAACTAATCGTGCTCGATATTATTGGCTCGACGCAAGAGCGTACGCCTCCGAAACAGCGATACGTGGCGTTTTTGTGAAAGAGAAATGACGCGTATCAAGGAGGACAGGGAGAAGTTAGTTTCGACGCTTCGGTGCTACGTGAAAGTACGCCATGACCGTTGTGAAAATTTCGGTCGATAACTACGCCTGGACGAGTGATTTTATGGTGAAAGCGATACGTCGCAACGGACCCAGTCGCAGTCACCGCGACAGTGACAAAACGCTTTCGTTTCTGGTTTCAAATTTAAAACGCTCCTTGTATTTTTAGACGACCGAGAACAGAGTTTCTAATACAGTGATTCCCAACCTAAGAAATTCTTGACAGGAGATAAGAAAAGACTAAAAATAGAAAAAGAATTTTTACATGAAAACTTTGCAATGAAATTCAAAACAATACTTTAAATATCAAAAAAATTTTTCGTCTGAATATTATTCGATGCAGTTTTCATGAATCTGTTTCCCTACCAAGGCGACCATAACCTGTTGCATGGCCCCGGATATTTCGAACTCAAATTTTTCTTCAATTTTCGTGCTTGAACAGTTCTCTCTCAAAAACCAGGGAATTTATTTTTATTAAAATTTCTGAGGTATACGGGTACCATTCATTCGCGGTATAGTGATTGTTCCGATATCTCCTCATATTACGACCAACGTGAACTAACCTGGTATAACAAATGCTTTGCAAACGCGATAATCTCTTAGCACAATCCGAATTGGATTCTGCATTACCATACAGCATCCCTTACGATAACAGGGCATAAATCAAAACAATCGACAATGAGAAATCCAGTGCGTGCATTACTATAGAACGTTCGGAATCCTATAATAGCAATAGATACCTAACTGCTTCTGCCAGTCCTCCTCTTAGCACGTTCTCTCGATTCATGCTAAATTATCCACCTTGTGAGTCACCATGGCCTGGACTACCATTTCTCAACCGACCTTACCGACCAATTAATTAATCAATTAATAACATTGTGTCCCAAACTTCATCTTCCAATAGTTTTGACACACGTAAAGTACAATTAAATTCATTATTTTCTAAATATAATTTCAAACCTGAGAAAATATTGTGTTTCGACAATTTCTATTAAATGTAAATGGTTAAAAAATATATATCATGTTTTAAATAAATAACGACATGCGAGGGACCGCGGCTGACACTTGACAGAAAATAAATAGCCCCGAAGCTAACGAGTTTTTACAGTTGTTTCGTTTTCCTTATTATTATGCAAACAAAGATACCCCGGGAAATAAATTTTTCCGTCGATAATAACATGTATGAAATTGCTTGTTCCATCTCCGGAGGACACGCGCATAATTTCCATATAGAAACGCGAAAGAACATTAATTACGAGCTGCTACTAATATTCAAACATTAAAAGAATTTAAGAATCATAGAATTACGACATTCTTCGCTATATGATCGAGTTCTTTTACTCGATTTATGATTTAACGATAAAAGCGATCCGAAAATGGTCGGCCATAAAGTCTTCGAGAGGACACATACAATTTCCATATAGACAAACACGAAAGAACAAGTAGCTACTAATATTTATCAAAGTTATAAATTACTGAACATAAATTTAATATACGATTCGATTCTATGTATAAAAAACATTGATGATTTTGTGCATGAGAATCGTCGAGGCAGACATTGTGAATAAAAGAATCACAAAATTACGATATTCTTCGCTGTATGATCAAGTTTTTTTACTCGATAAATGATTTAACGATAAAACTGAGTCGAAAATGGTCGGCCATAAAATCTCCGGGAATGCAATATCCCAATGGATATGTTAGAACCGAGATATGACGGAACAGGAGAGAATGACGAGGAACACAGTCGCTCGTGAATAGGATAACGATGCACCATGGGAAATTCCTGTGTGTATCGGCTCGTACAACCACCGACGGCTCGATACAAGTCTCGTTTCGCTGAGGGACAGTGCAATCATACTGGTTAATCAATATTGACAAATTATCACGAACGAAGAGGAGATTTGATTTCCCGGGCGGTCACGTATCAAAGACACGTGAACAAGGAATAGATATCACAGTTTCCACGAAAAAAAGCTAACATTAGTTTGAACTAAAAATACCACCGAATAGCAACGTTCAAAAAATTAAAGAAAAAGTTACACTTATAGAGAACTTGTTCCATAGTTGTTCCTCGATAAAAAAAAAGTATATAATTATTTTTCTATGCAAATTGGTTAAAATATTTTATCACCTAATACATAGGGTGTCAAATTTCCAAAGCCTCATTTTCTCTGTTTAAAAAAATTCTTTCAACCTTGGAAACACACCCCTTAAAAATTGAGAGGGTTGGTGGTGAAATAACAACTCAAACAACCCAACCGAAACATCGTTAAATAATCTTTAATCTTATTAAACAAATAATAAATGAAATATAATGAAACTTCCAAAGTTTCATTTTCTCTGTTTAAAAAAAGTCTTTCAGCCTTGAAAACACAGCCCTTAAAAAATGTTTCAAACGAGTTACTTTGTTTGCCTGTAAAATTTTTCAAATGTTGGATCTACAAGGGGAGGGGGTAGTTCGTATTTAAACGTAGCGATGTTCCTTAGAAGACCAGGCTGCGGTAACCGAAACGTTAGGGTCATGCATATATGCATGGCATGTAAACGAAAGAGAAAGTGCGAACGAGCAAACCAACAAGACGGAGAAACGCCTGAGCTCGAGCTTATGCTACCCAGCGTCTTTCCACCTAGCCGATAGACCTGTCTCTTATTGATAGCGACGACTCTTTCCTGTCTGAAACCGATGTCGGTGTATACGTCAAACTGCAAGAATATCCTTCCGCGCGTGATAGAGTGCAGATTGCAGAATAAACGATTTGCAAACGCAGCCAGCAGACTGGCTGTGTATCAGCAACGTTGCACAAGCAATACGTCTCGAGAAATAACAACGGCTATGTGCACACATTAGAATAGAAAATAATAAAGATCGGTTTTAACGAAGATGCCCGCCATGTTTCCCATTTAAACGAAATTAATATGTTAAA